ATGATAAGAGAAGAGCGAGGACCACTGAAAATGAATTGTAGGAGACAGCACACGCCTTACACAGAGAGGCTGAGGGAACTGGGATTGTTTAGTCTGCAGAAAAGAAGAATGAGGGGGGATTTGATAGCTGCTTTCAACTACCTGAAAGGGGGTTCCAAAGAGGATGGATCTAGACTGTTCTCAGTGGTACCTCATGACAGAACAAGGAGTAATGGTCTCAAGTTGCAGTTGGGAAGGTTTAGGTTGGATATTAGGAAAAACGTTTTCACTAGGAGGGTGGTGAAGCACTGGAATGGGTTACCTAGGGAGGTGGTGGAATCTCCTTCCTTAGAGGTTTTTACGGTCAGGCTTGACAAAGCCCTGGCTGGGATTATTTAGTTGGGAATTGGTCCTGCTTTGAGCAGGGAGTTGGACTAGATGACCTCCCGAGGTCCCTTCCAACCCTGATATTCTATGGTTCTATGGTTCTGTGGTTCCATAACCTTCCTTCCAGCATCTGGTACCAGGGATGTGACTGGAGAAAATGGGAGCCTGGCAGGGCAACTCTGTGCACCAGCTGTTCTGCTAGAACAGCCCCTTGGGATTGGGAGCAGCTGGATTGTAAATTTGAGCTGCCTTAACTTACACACCTGGGTCAGAGCAGCCTCCAGAGACAGCCTCTGAACATGAGGGCCACAAAGGAGGTATATTGCCACTTTTGTGCCTCCTCTTCTGCCATGAAATACACTGAGATCAGCTTGGATGCAGGTCAGATTAGGCTATGACATGTGCCCACATATACATATTACACCAGAGGTAGTCAATTATCTTTTGTCACGGCCCTAATGTCTTGGTCAAGGTATAGTCAATGTCTAGACTTGAGAAAATAATTAAAAGAAAGAAAACGATGATGATGATAAGTTAATAAAAATATTCCAGAGTCCATTCAAAAGCATCTGGTGGTCTGTATTTGACCCACAGTCCACCTATTGACTACCCCTGTATTACACACCAATACATGACACTATACCCTCCCCATATATAAAGGCACATTAGGCACCCACTCTGCACTTCCATATTCAGATACGCTACACATGCTTGGAACTCGCATGAAAGTAGTTGAGAATGGTCGTATCTACGCGTGCTTTAGATACAGTACCTGTATGGTGGTATTTCTCGCCTTGGCTATGAAGTCCACATTGATGCCTCCAATCACCACCTTAATGAGAGGGGCGGGGGAGAGTGGAGGAAAAAATTGGCCAGAAGAAGTGCTGAGTTTTGTTTGCTTTTCTCAAGCTCGCTCTCCCACCAACCTCTCAAAGTAGATGAAAATCATAGTGTGAAGGCCTGATCTTATCTGGCTAGGCCAGAACAGACAGTCCTTCCACAGAGCACCTTTGGAAAGAAAGGAAAATCTATTCTGAATTCTACCCTCTGAACTACTCCTTCTTACAGCCAGCCGCAGAAGAATAAATTGCTTGGGGCATGCAGGGTATTAGACGCACACCCGACACCAAAAATACAAAGTTTTGTCGGCACACCTATGTTGGTTATGAGTGTGGAAAAAATAATTAAAAACCCCCAAACAAATAGTGTAAATGCAACTAGGCTGACAGAAGAGTGCTTCTGTCAGCCTAGCTAATGTTGTTTGGGGAAGGGGTGTAGCTATGCCAGCAGAATAACTCTTTCTGCAAGTTTACACTGTGCCTACGCTAGGGGACTCTGCCAGTATAGCTATATTGGCCAAGGCTCTATATCTGGGGTCTCAAACACGCGACCCGCGGACTTATTTCCTATGGCCCACCACCGGCAGCCAACCTCCCCTCACCCCCCGTCCGAGTGCGCTGCATCCCCGCTCCTCCGCCTACCTCCCAGTGCCTCCCACCGCCAAACAGCTGTTTGAGGGGGGAGGAGCGGGGACATGGCGTGCTCAGGGGAGGAGGCGGAGAAGAGGTGGGGCCGGGGCGGGGATTTGGGGAAGGGGTTGGAATAGGGGCAGAGAGGGGACAGAGTTGGGGCAGGGACTTTGGGGAAGGGGTTGGAATGGGGGCGTGGAAGGGGTAGGAAGAGGTGGGGCAGAGGCAGGGCCTCATGGAAGGGGTGGAGTGGGGGCGGGGCTGGGGGCAGAGGCGGGGGCTTTAACCTAAGTAATTCTAAAAGTAAATGCATGTTTTGTCGTTTGAGCGAGGTGCATTACGGAGTGTTTATATTTTATTAAAACGCCTCTTTGCATTACAGTTTTTAAAAAGTTAATACATTGACTTTTAATAGCATACTATATTACTCTTCATTTTTTCCATTTTTGACTATACTTTTGTATCATTGTATGAAAAGGTTTCAGTGATGCACCCCTCGGACCAATGTACTAGTCCTCATGTGGCCCTCGTGGTGATTTGAGTTTGAGATCCCTGCTCTATAGTGCAGACATGACCGTACTTTGCATTGACGTCAATTAAGTTGATGTGTGTGTTGGGAAAGGTATCTATGTGGGGGGAAGGGGGAAATGTGAAAACAAGATAGGACCTTAAAGGCATTTGTAGGAAACCCAAGCTGAATGTGCAGGGGTCCTCTTTGATGACTAAGGCCAATGCCAGTGCTAATCACTGAGGACTCTGGCTCAGAGAAGCTTTTAGAAAGGGGAATGAAAATAAAGAATGAAGAGGATTTAAAAAGCACCTGAGGGAAATTAGAGAGCGAAGAGAGACTCTCCAACTGTTTACAGCAGAATGGATGGTCCTTGTCCCTCGGTGAAGAGTTATCATGTTTCGGACACTGGCTGTGAACTTATCTATAATGCTATTTGTAGATAGGCATTACACACAGAAGAGCAGAGGACTCACAGGTCTAAGTGCAGTTACTTTCTCACGCCGAGGCAGGTTGCCCTTCCCTGTGGAAGTTTGGATCTTGCTCAGGGCCACAGCTATGCGGCTGCCCACTCTGGCATTGTTCTGGATCAGAGCAATATCTGAATGGAAATTCTTTTTTAAAGAAATAAACGGCAAGAACCTGGTCTGGGAGAAGCCTGTGTAGGAACTTCCCTTCCCTAAGGGGAAGAGAACAGGAAGTGGAGGCTGGGACAACGACACAGGGGGACCTCTTGGTCCTGATTCACCCCACTCTAGTTATTGTACATATGCCAGATTCTCCTAGTGCGTGGACACCTCACAATCTTTAAAGGCATTTATCTTTACCACATACCTCGGGCGCAGGGAAACGCTATCAGATGGGGAGCCTAACAGTTAGGTGCCTAAATACCTTTGAGGGTCTGGTCCTACCTGACTTGCCTAAGATCACACAGGAAGTCTGTAGCATACTAGGGAGTTGAATCCATGTCTCCCAAGTGCACTCCCTAACTGCTGGGCCATCCTTTTTCTCACCATATGCAGGGTGGTTGACCATACTCCAGTACGCTCAAGCACAAATGCTACTCAAGTGGCATATAATAATGATGCCCAGAGTCTTCTCTCTAAGACAGAGGGAGCCTGGCAGCTTGGGTGTTTGGTGTACTGCCTGTCCTGAAAATTGCAGGAGAGCCTTGGCTTTAGAACACCTCCTCTCTTTGCCAGTCACCAGTTTTTACAGCAGAAATTGAGGGAGACAGAGTGTTAACAAGTTTAACAACTGTTTCTGTGCATTCAGCTGTTTTGAAATGCTAAAGTATTTGCCCTTTCAAGTTTCCAGATTAACAACAGTGATGGTATTCTATGGTCAACCTGTCCAATTAAATTTTTTTTGGGGGGTGGGGGGATTGTGGAATATTTTTTTCTTTAGTAAAAGGATACTGGAGTCCAACGATTTTCCACTAGTCAGTTCATTCACCTTCTGTAGCATAAAGGGAGTCAGCTCTTTCCCTGTGATCCCTTTCGACCTGCAAACAAAAAGAAAATACCTTTTGATAAGAAGTGAGCTAGCAGGGCATCAGAGTGGACGCACTGATTACTAACAGATAATCTAGCTATATAACTGCATGCCATCTAAGGCCCAGTAAACAAGCCTCAGTACAGAGAACTATAGTGAAAATCATATCAGGGAGTCACCCAGACCTGAGATTAAGGACATAGTCTGCACTATATCCTTGTTGCAGTGTAGTCTAGAGAAATGATCACAGCAAGAGTACTCTGGGGCCCCTGAGATCTGCAACATAATCTAAGTATAGATTTTAAATTACTACTCCTTTTCAAAGCAAAGTAGTTAGAAAAACATTTTCTCCTTTTACTTAGCTGTTAAAAATTGTGTTCTGGGTTTCCCTCACCTCCAAAGAACAGTATTTTTCTGCACTTCCTTAGCTTGCCTTAGGAGTTATTACTGATATGGAGTGAAATTCATCTCTCTGCAGAAGAGGGTTCAAGTAGTACATAGATTTTGTTTTGGCAATCTGCACAAGGGTGAATTTCACACATAATGAATAGTTGCAGGGGAAAGTGAAAGGGGGAGCTAATTTTCAAATCATTTTTGTTTTGAAATATAAATGTATTTAAAGTTTCTGTGTCTGCCCATAAATTCTGATTTAGGAGAGGAGATGGGAATATTTAATTTTTTTTAAGGCAATGCTGTTCTCTTTTAAAATGCCCATCCCTGGTCTGTGCCAAGGAGTTGAGTACTTATGATAAGCACTGGAGCCCCTTAGGTGGTCACAACCACAGAGTAAATTAAGGACAAAGTTTGGAGTGTTTCTCACCGGGCGTTGCTCAGAGCTTCTTGGATGGCAGCTTCAATGACCTGTCCTGAAGCAGCTTCCTCCTTAGGGCAGGGCACTGCAATCAGCACTCCACTGCCCAGGCCCAGTGCCAAGGTGCTGGCTGAGAGAGGAGAGACAGCTGTTAGTTGTGTCTGTGTGAGCTGAATAATCCAATCAAACTGTGAAACACCAAGGCATAGGAGAGAGAGAGTGAGAGCGCGTGCATAAGTGTGATGGAATGTTCCCTGGCATCAAGGAATGAACCAGTGATCTCCAGAGCTGAAAGCACAAGTCTCTGCAGACTGAGCTAAGAAGAATCAGGCCTCATAGCAGGGGGCTATAACACACACATCCTTTGTGGGTTAGGCACAGCTGGGAACACATAAGTTACACGAGCCTGTAGGTTGTCTGTGTAAACTCTGATGCGGGGAGGGGAGGTCTGTGTATATGTCAGGTATATGTGTGAGGAAAGCAGAGACGTGAAGACAACATTTTTAAAAAGGGGCTCCCTTGTTGTCTAGACCTGCTTTGAGCAGGGTTAGATGAGTAGGTGGTGGTAACACCTGTGAGTCTGTGCTCTGACTACTGTAGTGCTCCCACTGTTGCCGCCAATGGTGGTGCTGCAGCAGTGGGAGATTTCCTGAAAATGGCTAGTGTAGACATATTGCCTAAGCAGTTCCCTTGCCTGGCAGCTGGTCCCTACAGTGGCAATGCTGGCAGACAAGATTTCCTGTGGCCTTGATTGTGGGATGGTTGAGTGGGCGGATAGCAGTTCTCTGCTGGCGGTGGGCTGGGTAGTCAGTTGGGGAATAAGTTTCTTTTGGTTCTTAAGGTGGGCAAGTCTCCCCTGGCCACTGGAGGTCCCTCCTAGCTGGTTTGTATGTAAGCAAGACGGTCTCCCCAATATGGTGAAGTATGAGGATGGGTGGGAGAGTGAGTGGGAGAACATGGCTCCACACTCCCTCCTAATACCAGTTCTTCTGATTTCAGGCTGGGGCTGGGCAGACACACAATCTCTGGCCAAAATAGTAGCTTGCTGTGGCCACAAGACTCCCACACAGTGCTGTAGCAGCTTGGCCCTGTCTCCTCATCCACTGTCAGGGATGGTCTAGATAATGCTTGGTCCTGCCTTGAGTGCAGGGACTAGATGACCTCTTGAGATCTCGTCCAATCCTACGATCCTATGATTCTATGATTGCTGGTGGAAGTTTGGAGGGGCTGCAGGGACCATGTGGGTTCTCCCTCATGACAGGGGACATAAGGAGAGAATTCCCTTTGCAGTAGCAATAGTGGCTGAATTCAGAGAGGGCTGAAGAGTTTAACGAGCAGAGCCAGCTTCATGTTCCTGGGCAGATTGCAAAACAATTTATTGTCCCCCAATATGTAACCAGTTTCTTTTCACAATTATACCATGCACGGGGCTGCACTGAGGATTTTGGGGGAGAGTTCGAGAGATGATTCTTCAGGATATACCCAAACTAAACTCCAGAGCTGTGCTGGACCCAGATTTTTCATTCCAGCGGGAGTTTCACAATTTCAAAATTGTTTCTTTCCAGAAGGGATTGAAAACACAAAACACTCCCTACAAACAAATATTCCAAAAAAAGAAAAAAAGTGTTTGAGTCAATTGAACTGTTTTGTTTTGACAAAGTAAAATAGTTTGGTTCTGATTTTGACTTTTTTATGACTTTTTGTTTCAATTTTTTTATTTTCTATTAGACTTCATAAGATAAAATGAAAAAAATTGAAACAAAAAGTCATTTTGAAACAGAAGATCAAAACATTCTGTTCTGAAAAAATTGAAATGGCATGTTTCAACCTTATTGAAATGCTTTTTTTCTATTTTTGTCTCAAAACTAATTTTCATCAAAGGTGACATGATGTATTTCTGCAAAACGTTTTGCTTTCAGCAAATCAATGGGAAAACATTCCATCGGAAAATTTCCAAAGCCTGCTCCAGAAGTGGAGAGCAGGTGTGTGTGTGTGTGTATGTGTATGTGTGCGCGCGCATGCAGGGAAAGGGAAGGGAGGAGGTAGAGGGAAATCTGTTTGTATTCCCAGCCTGCTCCAGAAGTGGAGACCAGCTGCATAGTCCCTTCAGCCGTAGCAATCCGTTTGCATCAGCTTATATTTTCAAGTCCATCTTTACAATGAAAAGGGATTTAGACTTTTTTTTTTTAAAGATAGCTGTGATTCTCCTTCCTGAGGTCCAGAGGCCAGCTTTGTTAACAAGGGGCTCACCTGAAACCCCTCCAGATCCTCAGAGCAGGTAAACTGCATGTATGTGAGAGTGCCAGGGTGTGTACGAATAACTCTGTGCCACTCAGAGCACAGATGCTGGAACTGGGGCTGCTGGGGGTGCTGCCACACCCCCTGGCTTGAAGTGGTTTCCATCGTACACAGGGTTTACAGTTTGGTTCAGTGGGTCTCAGCACCCCCACTATACAAATTGTTTCAGCACCCTTGACTCAAGGCATATGTAACTTCTGCTTAGTTGGTTCCATCTAAAGGCTGACCCTTTTCTCTTTCTCTGCTTCCAAAGCAAGGGGACAGAAAAGTTGTTCTTCTGGACAGCCACCCTCTAGGTGAAATTAACACAGAAAGTACATCATTAAAACACAGCAATCTGTGTGAACCCCTGCCTCCTGATCCAAATCTGAACTTCACAGCTTGGGCCTTTCTCCACCGCAAACTCACCAATAAGTTTGGCAGCCTCCTCCTCATTCTGCACCTGACACGGTGCTTGGAAGCCACTCTGGCGGGAGAAGAAGGCAGGGAATTCCCTTGAGTCTCCAAAGGCAGCCACGCAGACACCCTGAGTCTCCTACAACAGTGAAGATGAGATGAACAAATTATCAGCAGATGGAATGAAGAGCCACCAACAGTGGCTACTTTCCCACCTACCCAGCCAAGAGTTGCCACATTGTAGAATAGAATTTGGTTAGTTTTACACATCCTCTTTTCTACTCTAGATATTGCACAGTAATTTTCAAAGCAAGGAGTCAGATACGTAACTGTGATGGCAAATGTGATGGCCTTAGAATCTGGCTTAGTGAGACAATGTTGGCAAGAACAATGGGGTCATAGGGGGTTGACTGGTTCTCTGCCCTCATTTTCAGCAGCCCACACAGCAACTTGTGCTACCTACCAGATATTCCAGCGTCCTACCAATGTCCAGAATAGACTTAACGCCTGCGGAAACCACAGCAACTGCAGTGCGTCCTAGCTCAGTCAGGTCAGCACTCACATCCATAGCTGTTAAGGGACAAGTGGCCTTTGTGTTAGTGACAGAGTTGCATTCCTAATTGTCATGCTCTCCTCACTTGCTGGGGAGATGGAAGTGAAGAAGAATGTTGCGTCCAATTAAAATTGCAGTGCAAATTTTACATAAGAGGAATATAATTCTCTACATTTGGGCATTGGCCAGAACACGATGAGTCATACCCCCTCACTTGCAAAATGTGCTGTGGGATCTTTCTTGACCGCAAAGGATCGTGGTCTTGGTTTTACATCTCATCCAAAAGGCAGCCCTTTCAGCAGCACAGTGCCTCCAACACTATGCTGGAGCATTTGGTTCAGTACTGATTCAGAAGGGAGAATGCCACTAAAAAGTCATGTTCCTACAGCATACTAGGTTGTCCTTTATGGGTCACCCATCCTAAGCACTGACCAGGGCCCAATTCTGCTCGCTTGCAAAAGCGTCTCACCTGAGTACAGAGAGCTAAGCATATTTATCAGTATCCCCAATAACTTCAGCTTCCCTGATAGTCTGTATCAACATAGCTTGCTACTACAAAGGGTGCAGCCAGCTCCCATTGGACTGAATTACTGGCTAGCAAGCACCATCAAATGGTATACACACCGTTCTGTGGATGGGAGAAAGGTCAAGAGAAGCTCCCACCTCCCTTGGGAAATATAAGTGTTCCAGAGAAAGAAGTTGAGCCTTGTGGAGAGAAAGAATTGGAAAGAAAGGCAGGTGAAATATCAGAGGTTCTGACGACACTCATGCTGAAACCATTGCTAGCATCAACTATGTGTCTACAGGCCTGTTCCTGGTAGGGTTCTTGTATGATTTCCCTGGCCAGTGTAGTCAGGGATATTTTTCTGAGAAGTGTGCTAATTAAACTTTGTGCTATAGATACCCAGCATAGTGAGGTCAGAGCCTTAGTGTAGATTTATCCACATCTTTGGAATGAGGCAGGGGGTGATTGTTTTACTCTTCCCAGCAGGAGAATACTGTGGGCTTATACAGACTAATCAAGGGAAAAGGTGGACATAAACAAATAAAACTTTAACATTAATTCAACAACAAAGAGACAATATGAAGTGCAATGTTCCTCTTACTCTTCTCTCCTTCGCGATGGACCCCTCCGATCCCTCCTGTCACAAACACGGGAATTCCTGCTTTGTGTGCCACAATCATCGTCCCTGACACAGTGGTACCGCCAGACAAACCCTGTCATGGAACAGCCAGTCATAATCCACACACTATGTGACATGGGGAACTGTATGTTCATGGACAAACTACCAGCAGTTGCAAAACATTCTGCTGTGCCGAGTTTGCAGGTAACAGAGTACTGCTACAGTATTCTTTTTAACAAATCCTCAGGGAAAACCAAAAACATTCCTTTGCAATAATAAACAATAGGGCCATACTCAGAGATGTTGAGTAAGGTGGCATACCTTAAATTTCCTTACGCAGCCTGACTCCGAAGGGCACTCAAATAATACAGGGTGTGTGTGTGTGTGTGTGCACGTGCAGTGTAAGAACTGGGATGGAAAAGTAAGTGCCGAGGAAACTTATTTTGATATAACTGATACACTGCAGAGTGTCTTTAACTTCCACAGTCTTGCACCTTGATGGATGTTGCTTTTCTTGCTCTAACCCTCTCTTTGTATAGCCAGTTATACTATTGTATCTACTGGCCTCTCAGTATGTGAATTACACTAACTTGGGCTCCTTAACATATCAGTAAGTGGGTGTAAGTAGGTCTGAGGAAGTCTAACTGAGTGTAAGAGATATGCATCCGAAGAAGTGAGGTTTTTACCCACG